TAATAATGCTCATGTCATATGTATTAGGAGCTGTCAGCAGCAGGCCATCTTTCAATGTAAAAAGCTGAGCTGCTTTCAGACTGCCACCTCACCCCTTTGTTTTATTTTGTGGCTGTTGGAGCTGTGCTGCGCATTATACGTGGTGTTTCAGTAAACCACCCCCAGAGAATGTTTCAGGCAGCAACTGTCCATTCAGTTTAAGGTAGGAATATTGTGACCTTGCATTTGAAACTGGAGACAGAAGCAAATTGAGAGAGCTCATAACTGGGCAAAACTTTGTGTGCATATATGCATAATATATATCTATCAAAGTATATTCATTTATCTATAGATACATATTCAACATTTACTCACTTTTTACCATTTTTAGGATGATACAAGCTGTTGATTAAATTTAACAGAAAGGATACTTTTTTATTCTGCTTTCCTACTGTGAACAGGCATTATGCCCCTTTGTATACTTTTATTTCCATGAAGTTTCACAGAAGTTCTATGAAGTGGATAGTTTTATTCTCATCTTACAGATGAAGTTAAATATTGGTCACATACATACACACACCCAAAGTAAACACTGTGGACTAACCAGAATATGGGCCCAGGTGTTTGGTGAAGAAACGAAAAGGACAGGGCTGAAGCCAGAAAATGGCCTTGGCTGACTGAACAGAATCCTCTGCGCTACCAGAACTGGTCATACCAGACTCCTCCCCATGCCTCCCCTCCTTGTCCTAACCAAGTCTCTGCTCAGCCCTGACCTGTCTTGCAGAACCTGTGATTCTAATCTCTACTTTAATTCATGCCATTTTAGCTCCTAACTGCATATGCTCTGGTAGCCTCCTAACTAGCCTCCCTGCCTTTGGCCTTTTCCCAGTTGTAGTTCATTTTGTAACTGCCCTCAGCCCATGAACCTTTAGAAACTTCCAGTTGCCTACCAGCAAGGTCCCAGTGTACTGGTAAGGCCTTTACTAGTGTGGACTCCCACAATCTGACCACCAATGGCCTTTATGTGGTTGGGTCCTGAGATTTGTCTTCACTCACCCAGCTTCCCTAGTGTTCTAGGGCAGTCCTGTCCCAGATCCAGCTGCTGTAGCTCACAGCTCACCACACACACACACACACACCCATACCCACTCACACACCCACCCACACCCACTCACCCACCCACACCCACTCCCCCCTCTGCTGGAGTGGGAGCTAGGGAAAGGACTTTAGCTTGCTTTTTTTTTTTTCAATAGCTTTATGAGGTATAATTGATATACAAAGACCTGTACATTTTTTTTTTTTTTTTTATCCTCACCTGAGGACATTTTTCCATTTTTTGTACAGATAGAGTGGGAGGGAGAGAGAGGAAGGGATAGAGAGTGAGAAACATCGACGTGAAGGGACACATCGAGTGGCTGCCACCCGCACGACCAACCAGGGCCGGGGACAAACTGCAACCGAAGTACGTGCCCTTAGCGGGAACCGAACCCGGGTCTCTCCAGACCGCAGGCCGACGCTCTAACCGCTGAGCCAAACTGGCCAGGGCAAGACCTGTACATATTTAATGTGTACGATTTGTTGCGTTTGGACATATGCAAACCCTATGATACCATCACCACATCTTAAAAAATATATAGTTCAAAAGTCTATTGCCCTTATACTGCCCCTCTCTCAATAACCTCTTTTATTAGTTTCTTGTATATCATTCCAGGGTATCTTTGTGAATATAACCACATATGAATATATATTCTTATTCCTCTTCATTTTTATATTAAAGAAACATGCCAAACATACAGTTCTTCACCTTGAGTGATCTTTCTGTATCAGTATATTAATGGTTTTTGCTTTTTTATAGCTTCATGGTATTTCATCATATTCCTGTGCCAAAATTTATTTAACTAGTCCCCTAATGGACATATGTCATTTGCATGTGTGCAAGTATATCTAGGATTACTGTTCAAAGGGTATATGTTGTTTGAAATTTTGATAGATGCCTTTTAGCTTTTTTGATTGATGATTTTTAAATATCAAAAAAGGCCCTGGCCAGTTTGGTTCAGCGGTTAGAGCATCGGCCTGCAGTCCCGAGAGACCCGGGTTCGGTTCCCCCTAAGGGCGCATACCTCGGTTGCAGTTTGTCCCCGGCCCTGGTTGGTAGTGCGGGTGGCAGCCACTCGATGTGTCCCTTTCACGTCGATGTTTCTCTCTCTCTCTCTCTCTCTGTTCCTCTCTCTCCCTCCCACTCTACCTGAACAAAAAATGGAAAAATGTCCTCAGGTGAGGATAAATAAATAAATAAATAAATATCAAAAGAGCAGCTCAAGTTCCACTTCCCTGAAATCTTCAAACGAAAGGGAGCTCTCTTCCTAATCTGTTCTACTGTGTGACTGTGTGACTCATTTAACAATCACAACCTCCTCTGAGTGTGTATATTCATATGTGGGTTATTTCTCCACCTAGAGTGAAGGAACTCAGGTCTTTATTTCACATCCTCAGAACTTACTCTGGTACCTTATAGATATATCTGCTCATTGATCAAATATTTGTCTTTCATTCAAGAAGAAAAATCTCTGCTATGGACCTGAAAATGAGATAGTTGCTTGCTACTTCTTGTTAGTGGTTTATTGAGACAAAGCTCTCTTTGGAGGGCAGATGGTCTCAGGTACCACAAATCCAATTTTAAAATATTTGTTGAGCATCAGAAATGTAGACACAGTGTGAGAGGCTAGGGAGGAAAAAGAATGAGCATGACATAGGACTAGTCCTCATGAACCCTTCCCCAAGTTCATTTAGTCTCTACGGTGTTTTAAACATATTTCAAAAACTTTTATAATTGGGATATTTTGTACATATATAAAAGTGCACAGATTTTAAATATGTAGGTGGAATGATTATAAAATCTGCTTGAAACATTTTTTGTTAGTTACTGATCTTTAAAAAATCTCTTGAAAAACTCCTGGTAATTACTTCCCCTTAGGATAGTCACTTCCCAATTTTTCTATTCTTGATTTCCTATTCTCTGAATGCATTTCCATTTGAAATCCCTGGTCCTCTATAAAATAGGATGTCCAGGCATCTGGGAGGAAGAGGGAGTTTGGGGGTGGGGGTGAGGGACTTAGAAGAGCAGAGATGAGAAGACTGACAAGGCAATTGAATACCAGACTGCTGACCCATTGTATGTTTACTTGTATTTTAACAAGGTTAAAACATGTTGTAGTCTTTTAAAAATCAATTTATTTTCTACATTTTAATCTCTTCAAGGACTGTGTTTTCTCTCAGTCTCCTCAAATTATGTTGGTGGTTAAAAACTGAAAGAATTAGTTAGTATTTTAAAGTGTAAAATTAAAACACCCAATTTATCTGTATCTGTAGTTTGAGCAGTCTGTCAAAGTCATGACTGAGAACAAAACCCAATTCTAAAACGTGTATCTGATGTCATAGAATAAATTTTAAAATGAGCCATCTGCCTTCTTAAGTTTATCTCCACTGCACCTATGCTCAAAAATACTTCTACTCATACACAGGAACTATTGTTTAAAGATTTTGCTGTTGATTCATTAGGTAGGCTCTCCAGGAATTATATACACTTTAAAATTTATTAAAAATGTACGCACACATTAAAAACCAAATAAACAATTTTGCAAACCATTTAAAAAATTAAATCTTTTCTCACCCTTTGTCATCTCTCTTATCAGAAACAACCAGTATTACCAGTTTCTTGTGTATTCTTCCAAAGATATTCTCTGAAGACATAAGCACACCACATGTGTGGTGTGTGTACACATACGAAGACACACACCAAGCCTCCCCTTTTCTACACAAATGACAAGCCATGTGCTTTTCTGCACCTGTTTTATTTTCATTTCACTTAACATATCTGAGGATATTTTCTTCGCAACAGTATATACATTCACATTATCCTTTTGGCTGCATAATGTTTCATAATTTATCCATTTTCTTCCTTGAGAATGTTTAGATTTGCAGTCTTTCTTCTACAAACAGCAGTGTTTAGGACATCCCTTTACATTTATCTTTTACGTGGGTGCACATGTATCTATAGTATGAATTCCTCGAATGTGCCTTTTAAATATTGTTTGCTTTTGCCCAGTTGCCCTACAAAGAGTACCAGTTTACATTCTAAATATCAGTATATGTAAGTGCAGTTTCTCAGCACTCTTGCTAATATTTATTATCAAGTCTTTTGATCTTTGTCATTTTGATATATGAAAATGATATTTTGTTGCAGTTCCAAATTGCCTTTCTCTTGTTATGATCTAGCATGATATTGTCCAGGAAGAACTCCAGCTCAGGGCTGCCAGGCCACTTCTTAGTTGTCATAATCATTTACGCTGCTTTTCTAATTACTGTTTTTCTTTGCCTTGGAGCAAAAGTGAGACAGACTTGTTAAAATAAAAATAAATAAGTAAATAAAGCCCTCATGGGGAAAGAACATTGCAGATAAAATAACTAAATTACACATTAAAAAACACACACAAATCTATTACTTTTTCTCTGACCCTCCATCATCCCTTTTCCTAGTCTGCCACTACATCTTTAAATCCTCTTTTCTCTCTATTCCTCATGCTAGTTAGAGACATGAACACTTCAGTCTTCCTTCTGTCTAAACAGGTTTTCCCCAAAAAAGTTCTCCAAGAATTATTGACTTATTTCCTTGGTGGTACCTGAAATTTGTTTCTACTCAACAACCCAGCAATAGAAGCGGAGTTCTGTGAGGGCGAGGCTTTTCACTGCTGTAATCCCAGCCCCTAGGATAGTGCCTGACACAAATAAGTACACACAGCTTTATTTATATGTATATATGTATATATACAGTGGTAAAACCTATATAACATGAAACTGACCATTTTAACACTTTTAAGTGTATAGTTCAGTGGCACTAAGTACATTTACATTTCAGTAATTTTCTTTGGATGAATGAACGAGTAGTGATATTGGTTATTTGTTCCTGAAATTAACAAGAGCTAGCCGGTCTTTTTAATTCACATTGTTCTTCTTTCCTCCAGACGAAGTCATACGGAAGCGTCTCCTAATTGATGGAGATGGCGCTGGTGATGATCGAAGAATTAATCTGCTAGTGAAAAGTTTCATTAAATGGTGCAACTCTGGATCCCAGGAAGAGGGGTATATCTTTTCACTGTTGTTTCTATACCAATGTCCTGATGTGATTTTAGACCTTATGCACAGTCCTGTTGATATTGCAAATTTTCACTCACCTTAAATGTCCAATTGAGTCAACTCTTGGTTAATCAAGAGTAGATTTTTCTGACCTTAATTCTCTGGAGAGGTCTGCTTTGTGTTTATTAAAAATGTAAAAAAAGCATAGAGATAAGAAGAAATGAAGATTAAATCCAGGCTTATTATTTGGTCACTGTTAGCAGATGTGTTTAAATATCTAAATGAAATGTTCTTTTTTTAATAAGCTAATAGGTCGCTGCAAAGTTTTAATAAGCTAATAGGTTGCTGCAAAGTTTTGTACATATTTAATAATTTTTTATATTAGAAAAATTTTCCACATTTAAATTCGCTTTTCACTTAGGTAATTAACTGTGTAGAGTGAAAATGTTTGTGAGAACAGAACCATGAAGATAAAAAAAATCTGATCAAAACATCTAAAACAGTATTTAAAACAAAATTAAAGCAAGTAGCTATTTGAATTAAGCTTACACTGATAGGAACAAAAATCCCATCATTGTACTTGTAACTAAAGCAGTTTATAAATTCAAGTGCACTATATTTGGAAAAAGGAAACATAAGGGACAGATATTCTAAATTATTTTAAATAAAGCAAAGGATTCTCTCAGAACTTTATATATTTAATTAGCAAATCTTTGCCTGCATTATAAATAGTTCAACTTGGGCAAGCCACAAAAATCTTTATTCTGTTTCTCTCTCTCTTATTAGATACAGCCAGTACCAACGTATGCTGAGCACACTGTCCCAGTGTGAATTTTCAATGGGCAAAACTTTGCTGGTATATGATATGAATCTCAGAGAAATGGAAAATTATGAAAAAATTTACAAAGAAATAGGTAAAGAAACCTAAATTAATTAATGTTTATCTATAATTTTAATTTTTATGGCCTAAAGGAAATAATACCTGTTAACATTTTTCTTTGCTTAGTGGTAACATAAAAACAATAACAATATTAGTAGAAAGAATATAGTAAAATTAGTCACAAAAATATATTTTAATATGCTATAGTTACAGCTATTTTTTAAATGTCAACATCTATTTTATTAGCAATGGAACTTAATTTAAAAACACATTTTAAAATTGAAAGTGGATGGAGATTATATGTGTTGTTACAATTATCTTAAAAAACCTCTTTGTATAGAATGTAGCATTGCTGGAGCACATGAAAAAATTGCTGAGTGTAAAAAGCAAATTCTTCAAGCAAAACGAATACGAAAAAATCGCCAAGGTAAGAGTTTTATGGGATTTAGTGTGCAAATATTTTATTACTGACTAGTATTTTCATACTGTTTTTAATGTTGTAAAATCTTTGGCAAGAATTCACCTGAATTATAAAAAAGTATAAGGAGCCAAACTTAATTCTGTAAAATTATATTATTCTTTAAAATAGCAGACAAGGAAGGCTATGCTGAAAAAACTTTTTTTCCTGGATTGAATTGATTATCCAAATATTTCTTATATATATTTTTGTTAATCCTCACCCGAGGATATTTTTCCATTGATTTTTTAGATCGAGTGGAAGGAAGGGAGGGAGAGAGAGAAAGAGAGAAAGAGAGAGAGAAACATTGATGTGAGAGACACACAGATATTGGTTGCCTCCCACATGAGCCGGGAACCTGTAACCCAGGTACATGCCCTTTTCTAAAAAAAAATATTTTTTCTTTATTGACTTTAGAGAGAGAGGAGAGGAGAGAGAGATAGAAACATCAATGAGAGAGAACATTGATTGGCTGCCTCCTGCATACCCCCCGCTGGGGATTGGGCCCACAACCTGGGCCTGTGCCCTGACTGGGAATCGAACCAGCAACCTCTTGGTGCATGGGATGATGCTCAACCAGTGAGCCACACCGGCTGCATGCCCTTGACTTGGGATTGAACCCACAACTCTTCAGTGCATGGGCTGAGACTCTAACCACTGAGCGACACCAGCTAGGGCCAAGTATTCTTAAGTATTTGGTTATTTTGGTTTTGTTTTTTTTACTGTCTTCAGACCCCTTTGCCTAAATAATATGGTTAATCAACAAAGGGTATTTATACAAGTACACTATATTTAAGATTTTGTTTGTTGTTTATTTGTTTGATGGAGCTACTTTAAAAAAAGAAAATTTAAGCCCACTGAGTTTTTATTAAGTACAAAGCAAGCAAACATTTACAGGCTGCCTAAACAATAAGAGGAATGTTAAAGTTTTATTTTGTTTTGATCTCTTTGTTCGTTTTTTTATTAATTTATTTTTGTTACACATGTTTCTCCTTTTTTCTCCCCATTGACACCCTCCTCCCCATCCCCCCAACCCCATCCCTAGCTTTGTTGTCCATGTCCATCGGTTTTGTGTACATGCATATAAGTTTTGTGGTTTATCTCTTCCCTCCCCTCCACCACTCCATCTTCTGAGAGTTATCAGTCTGTACCCTATTTCCACATCTCTGCGTCTATCCTGTTCCTCAGGCTGTGATGTTCATTATATTCCACAAATAAGTGAGATCATGTGATATTAGTCTTTCTCTGCTTGGCTTGTTTCGCTTAGGATAATACTCTCCAGGTCCCTCCATGTCATCTCAAAGGATAAGAGATCTTGCTTTCTTACAGCTGCATAGTACTCCATTGTGTATATGTACCACTGCTTTTTTATCCATTCGTTTACTGATGGACACTTGGGCTGTTTCCAGATCTTAGCTATTGTAAATAGTGCTGCTATGAACATGGGGGTACATATGTTCTTTCTGATTGGTGTTTCAGGCTTCTTAGGGTATATTCCTAGAAGTGGGATCACTGGGACAAATGGCAATTCAATTTTTAAATTTTTGAGGTAACACCATATTGTTTTCCATAGTGGCTGCACCAGTCTGCATTCCCACCAACAGTGTATTAGAGTCCCCTTTTCTCTACAATATTTGTTGTTTGATGATTTGTTGATGGCAGCCATTCTGACAGGTGTGAGGTGATACCTCATTGTTGTTGTTTTAATTTGCATCTCTCTGATGATTAGTGATGTTGAGCATTTCTTCATATGTCTTTTGGCCATTTGTATGTCCTATTTGGAGAGGTGTCTATTTAGTTCCTCTCCCATTTTTTAATTGGGTTCTTTGTCTTCCTTTTGTTAAGTTGTATGAGTACTCTATATATTTTGGAAATTAACCCCTTATCTGATACATCATTGGCAGTGATGCTCTCCCATACAGTGGGTTGCCTTTCCATTTTGATGGTTGTTTCTTTTGCTGTGCAGAAGCTTTGTAGTTTGATATAATCCTATGTGTTCATTTTTTTCCGTTGTTTCTGTTGCCTTAGGTGATGTATCAGTGAAAATTCTGCTGCGTATGATATCTGAAATTTTGTTGCCTACATTTTCTTCTACGATTTTTATGGATTCATGGGTCATATTTAAGTCTTTTATCCATTTTGAGTTTATTCTTGTGTATGGTGTAAGTTGATGGTCTAGTTTCATTTTTTTTTGCATGTAGCTGTCCAATTTTCCCAACACCATTTATTAAAGAGGCTGTCTTTACTCCACTGTATGCTCTTGCTACCTCTGTCAAATATTAATTGAGCTTAATGTTTTGGGTCCATTTCTGGGTTCTCTGTTCTGTTCCACTGGTCTATATGCCTGTTCTTGTGCCAGTACCAGGCTGTTTTGATTACAGTCACTTTGTAGTATAACCTGATATCCGGTTTTGTGATCCCACCTACTCTGTCCTTTTCTTTCAAGATTACTGTGGCTATTTGGGGTCTTTTTTGGTTCCATATGAACTTTTGAAGTACTTGTTCTAATTCTGTGAAGTATGCCGTTGGTATTTTGATGGGGATTGCATTGAATCTCTAGATTGCTTTGGGTAATATGGACATTTTAATGATGTTAATTCTTCCAATCCATGAATAAGGTATGTGCTTCCACTTTTTTATATCTTCCTTTATTTCTTTTTTCAATGTCCTGTAGTTTTCTGCAAATAGGTCCTTTACTTCTTTTTTTTTTTATATTTTATTTATTTATTTATTTATTTATTTATTTATTTATTTATTTATTTATTTATTTTTTTATCCTCACCCGAGGACACTTTTTCATTCTTTGTTCAGATAGAGCAGGAGGGAGAGAGAGAAACATCGATGTGAAAGGGACTCATCGAGTGGCTGCCACCCGCACAACCAACCAGGGCTGGGGACAAACTGCAACCGAGGTACATGCCCTTAGCGAGAACCGAACCCGGGTCTCTCTGGACCGCAGGCCGACGCTCTAACCGCTGAGCCAAACCGGCCAGGGCGGTCCTTTACTTCTTTGGTTTAGTTTATTCCTAGGTATCTTAATTTTTTTGTCACGATGGTAAATGGGATTGTTTTTTCAGTTTCTCTTTCTGTGACCTCATCATTGGTGTACAAGAATGCCATTGATTTCTTGACGTTAATTTTGTATCCTGCTACTTTGCCAAATTCATTTATTAAGTCTAGTAGATTTTTGATGAAGTCTTTAGAGTTTTTTGTGTATAATATGTCATCTGTGAATAATGACAGTTTCACTTCCTCCTTTCCAATTTGGATCCCTTTTATCTTTTCTTCATGTCTGATTGCTGTGGCTAAGACTTCCAGTACTATGTTAAATAAGAGTGGCGAAAGTGGGCATCCTTGTCTTGTTCCTGTTCTTAAGGGAAATGCTTTTAGTGTCTGCCCATTGAGTATGATATTGGCTGTAGGTCTTTCATATATGGCCTTTATTATGTCTAGATATGATCCCTCTATTCCCACATTGCTGAGCGTTATTATCAGAAATGGGTGCCGAATTTTGTCAAATGCTTTTTCAGCATCTATTGATATGACCATGTGGTTTTTATCCTTCATTTTATGTGGTGTATTACATTTATTGATTTGTGAATATTGTACCAGCCTTGCATCCTTGGGATGAATTCCACTTGGTCATGGTGAATAATTTTTTTGATGTATTGCTGGATCTGATTTGCTAGTGGTTTGTTAAGGATTTTGGCATCTATGTTCATGAGGGATATTGGCCTGTAGTTTTCTTTCTTTGTAGTGTCTTTTTCTGGTTTTGGAATTAGAATTATGCTGGCCTCATAGAACGAGTTTGGAAGTCTTCCTTCTTCTTGATTTTTTGAAATAGTTTGAGGAGAATGGGTGTTAGTTCTTTTTAATGTTTGGTAAAACTCCCCTTTGAAGCCGTCCAGGCCTGGGCTTTTGCTGGGAGAGTCTTGATTACCTCTTCAATTTCCTTGGTTGTTATTTGCTGGGAGAGTGTTGATTACCTCTTCAATTTCCTTGGTTGTTATTTGTCTGTTCAAGTTTTTTATCTCTTCCTGTCTAGTTTTGGGAGACTGTGTGTTTCTAGAAATTTGTCCATTTCACTTAGATTGTCGAATTTGTTGCCCTGTAATTGTTCATAGTATTTGTTAACGATCCTTTGTATTTCTGTGGTGTCAGTTGTTACTTCTCCTCTTTCATTTCTGATTTTGTGTATTTGGGTTCTCTCTCTTTGTTTCTTGGTGAGTCTAGCTAAGGGTCCATCAATCTTGTTTATGTTTCCGAAAACCAGCTTTTTGTTTCATTGATCCTTTGAATTGATTTTTTGGTCTCTATGTCATTTATTTCTGCTCTGATCTTTACTATTTCCTTCCTTCTACTTGCTCTGGGGTTTTCTTTCTGTTTGCTTTCTAGTTCTTTAAGTTGTGAGGTTAGATAGTCTATTAGAAATTTTTCTTGTTTCTTGAGGTAGGCCTGTAATGCTATGAACTTCCCTCTCAGAACTGCTTTCACTGCATCCCATAGCTTTTGTGTTGTTGTGTGTTCATTTTCACTGGTTTCCAGGAAGTTTTTAATTTCTTCCTTGATCTCCCCAGTAACCCATTCATTGTTTAATAACATGCTATTTAGCCTCCATGTGTTGAAATGTCTTTGCATGTTCTTGTTGCAATTGATTTCTAGTTTCATGCCATTGTGATCTGAGAAGATGCTTGATGTGATTTCAGTCTTCTTGAACTTGTAGAGACTTAGTTTGTGTCCTAACATATGGTCTGTCTTTGAGAGTGTCCCATGTGCTCTTGAGAAAAATGTGAATTCTGTAGTTTTGGGGTATAATTCTATGTAGATATCTATTAAATCCATTTGGTCTAGTGCTTCATTACAGTCTCTTCTTCCTTGCTAATATTTTGTCTAGTGGATCTATCCAGTGATGTCAGCAGGGTTTTGAAGACCCCCGCTATGATTGTATTGCTGTCGAGTTCTCCTTTGAAGTCCTCCAAAAGACTTTTAATATATGTTGGTGCTCCTATATTGGATTCATATATGTTTACCTAGGTTATATCTTCCTGTTGGATAGATCCTTTCAATATTATGTAGTAGCCGTCTTTGTCTCTAGTTATGGCCTTCATATTGAAATCTAACTTATCAGAAATGAGTATTGCTACTCTAGCTTCTTTTCCTTTTTGTTTGCTTGGAGGATTTTTTTTTCATCCCTTTACTTTCAAGGTATGTGTGTCTTTTGTTGTGAGGTGGGTCTCTTGTAAACAACATATATGTAAATCATGCTTTCTTATCCAGTCAGCTACTCTGTGTCTTTTTATCACAATATTCAATCCATTTACATTTAAGGTGATTATTGATATGTACTTATTTCTTGCCATTTTTATTTAGTTTGGTTATGTTTTTCTTCCTATTTCTTCTACTAATTACAACATTTCTTGCAGTGCTGGTTTGGTGCTTATATATTCCTCCAGCGTTTTTTTTGTCTGGGAAGCTCTTTATCTGACCTTCTATTTTGAATGGTAGCCTTGCTGGATAGAGTTGTCTTGGATTCAGATCCTTGTTTTTCATGACCTTGATTACTTCATGCCATTCCCTTCTGGCCTGTCGTTGTTTCTGTTTAGAAGTCACATGATAGCCTTATGGGGGTTCCTTTGTAGGTAAACTGTTGCTTATCTCTTGCTGCCTTTAGGATTCTCTCTTTGTCTTTAATTTTTGGCAGTTTGATTACTATGTGTCTTGGTGTGGGCCTGTTTGGGTTCTTCTTACTTGGGGCTCTCTGTGCTTCTTGAAGTTGAATGCCTTCTTCCTTCACCAAGTTAGGAAAGTTTTCTGTCACTATTTCTTTAAATATATTCTCTAACCCTTGCTCATTTTCTTCTTTGGGGACACCTATGATACAAATGTTATTACATTTCCAGTTGTCCTACAGTTTTCTTAAGCTGTCTTTCTGTTTTTTAATCGTTTTTTCCTTTTTGGTTTTTTGATTGGTTGATTTTTTTCTACCCTGTCTTCTAATTCACTGATTTGGTCCTCACCTTCCTCTACTCTGGTGGTTAGTCCTTCCAATGTGTTCTTTATTTCTGTTATGTCATTCTTCATTTCTTCTTGGTGGTGTTTCATTTCCATTTGGTTGATTTTCAGTGTTTCTATGTCCTTTCTCATGGTGTCGATGTCCTTACTCATGCTGTCGAGCTTCCTCAAGATCATGGCTCTGAATTCTAGCTCTGTTAACTTGCTTAACTGCATTTCATTTATCTCACCATCGGTAGAGGTCTCTTGTTCTTTCATTTGGGATTTGTTTCTTTGTTTCACCATTTTGGCTCTCTCAGTGGGTTTTGGAGCCTGCCAAATTTTCCCTGTGGGTGTTGGTGTTCTGCTGTGTGTGGCTCCCTCTACTGGGTTTGATGAGTGTGGGAGGACCCATGTTAAACACCATTGTCACGTCTTACTTTCCTGGGTAGAGTAGCAAGTCCAGGAAAGGCTTAGTTATCCTCAAGATTTTTGCTTGGAGGCTGTTAGTCAAGGTTACTTGAAGAGTCTTGGGTTCTCAGTTGAATGAAAAACTCCCTCAGGTGTTCAGCTTAAGGGTATTTTCCGAGGGTGGGGCAGATGCTGGTTGTTAGCCTCAATTTTCATTTCAATGGTCCACCTGGGTGAGGTTGAATTTCTGAGGGAAGGGCCGCTGCCTCTCCCCAGAGCCCTGGGATGGAATAAGATGGCCACCGTCCTGCGTCGCTGCAACTCAGCAAGAGCTCTGAGCGCCCTCCAAATCCCGAGTGTCCCCACACAGTTCCAGTCCAGTCTGCCCTCCCTCTGCCAAAGCCCAAGGTGAGTGGCTGTGGCTATTTTAGCGCATGTCCCGGCTCTGCGCTGTGAAGTGGGCTTGGGAATTTAACCTGAGGGCGCTTCTCACAGCTAAGATAGTTGCTGTCCGTGGGCTCCCAGCTCCCCTCTGCCCTTCTGCAATCCTACCAGTATTTATTCAGTGTCCCTGGTTATAGGGTCCTCGCAGGCTTCTTTTCTGTTGCTTTTTCTTGATGATTTTTCTTTGTTTTAGTTGTAATTTCAGTTTGGTCTTGGGAGATGGTCTTTGTAGCTTACATTCACTCCACCGTCATTTTGGAATCTGATTTCTTTGTTCTTAAATTAGTATGTGTTCTTACTGTAGTCCATAAAAACTATTTCAAAATAATTTTAATGGCAGAGGCATTTCTCCTATAATATAAATGGAAAGAAAGACAAATATAATGTATAATCAGAATTGTGACTTATATGAAAAACTAGAAGGAAATGGAAAATGTTAATGGTTATTTGGGAGTTGTGGGTTTTTAAAGGCTTAAATTCTTTTCTCCCTCTTTTTTTTTTTTTTTTTTTTACATTTAGCATGTATTATTTTGTTATCCAAATTTTTTAAAATTAAAAATCACACTTTTATTGAATTAATATGCTGATTTCGCTGATTTCCAAAACAATGAGTTTCCTTTTTTTTGCATTTATCTTCAGATAGAGCGGGAGGAAGGGAGGGGGAGAGAGAGAGAGAGGAGAGAGACATTGACGTGAGAGAGACACATTGAGTGGTTGCCACCCATACAACCCCAACCGGGACTGGGGACAAACTGCAACTGAGGTATGCGCCCCTAGTGGAAACCAAACATGGGGTTCTCCCGTCTGCAGGCTGACACTCCAACCGCTGAACCAAACCAGCCAGTGCATGAGTTTTCTTTTTAATCAGTTCATTAAGATGTTTATTTAATTCCTTATCTTCTGAAGTTGTCTTTTGAATTCAGTCAAGTTTTGGTGGCAGATTTACAAGGTATACCAACTTATTTAAGAATTAGTATCAATTGTAAATTCTTTAAAAATGTTTTACACTTTATTTTGTTGACTAATGAGGCTTTTAAATGAATATTGCCATTTATCATTTCATAAGAAAGGTTAATGGGAGATACATGACTTATCCTAGAAGTCTCAGTGGAGCAGAAACAAGGTTCCTGAATTTTTTTTTTTTAATCCTCACCCGATTACATTAATCTTCAGACACAGTTGGAGGGAGAGGGGGAGTGAGAGAGAGAGACAGAAACATCGATGTGAGAGAGGCATATCGAATGGTTGCCACCCGCACAACCCTAACTGAGGCTGGGGATGAACCACAACCGAGGTACTTGTCCTTGGCCGGAATTGAACCCAGGTCTCCTTGGTCTACAGGCGATGCTCTTACCACTGAGCTGTATCAGCCAGGGCAAGGTTCCTGAATTTTAAATCATTTCTAGGTTTCTGAAATCTTTACCTTTAGAATGAGTGAGAAGTATAATTTGCTATTGTCTAAGATCTGAACTTAATGATATGATATATTTACCTTGCTCATCTTTTATTTGCTGGGCAAATAGTAAATACAGTCCTCTTTAGAATCAGTCCACTTGATGATCAATAATGACTTAAGATCACTCATGCTTCTGCTGGCCTCTGTATTCTGCCCATGAATAGGTATATTAAAAACAGAGTGGAAGCTAAAGTCCTTGTTTGGAACATTGGAAGTCATGTATCATTACAGTTGTAGCGGAATCAAGTGAAACTGGCAGTACTCTTTCCTCTCTGCAAGTTTTCGTTTCTTTATGTGCTAGGAAAGTGATTAAGAGAGACTTGTGATATTACACATTTTGTTATGTTATCTAGGTTCAAAAAAACCTTAATTTGTTACATGTTTTTATATCTTTCAGAATATGATGCTTTGGCAAAAGTGATTCAGCATCATCCAGACAGGCATGAGACATTAAAGTAAGTTTAGAGCTTTACTTGAAAGTAACTAACCTTTTTTTTTTTTTTTACAATATATTGTTATATTTTATTATTAGTTATTGTTAATCTTTTACTGTGCCTAATTTGTAAATTAAACTTTATCATAAATATGTATGTATTTGCAAAACATTATATATATATAGGATTCAATACTATCCATGGTTTCAGTCACACACTGGGGGTCTTGGAACTAATAGATTTTGTGTTCTATTCATTGCTATGTAATATATCATAACTACTCTTGATTATCAGAGAAACAGTGCCTATTTTCACAGGTGTCTAAATACTTGTGATTTAGAATCTAGGACTAGACTTTAAAGCATTTGGCCTAGATTTCCAACAGATGCACTTACTTCTGACAAGTTTTCAACCTGGATCCATGTCTGAGGATACATTCAAGAAATATCCTAGACAAGAGATGAATTATCATTTACCTAGATGGTCAAAAACTCTCAAGTCTGTTTTCATAGACCTCTGCCAAGTTAGGTCTTTCTTGTTTTGTATTTAGTAGTGTTGACGTGGTATACCTTTTTATGTTCTTTTACTTTTATCCTATTCGTCTTCATATTTAAAGTGAGTTTATCACAGGCAGCAGATAGTTGATGCTTGTTTTATTCAATATGAAAATATCGAATGTAATTAATCTTTATATGTAAATGTTTAAATACTAGCCTATGCCTTCCATTTTTACAGGAATACATAAATTATAAAAGGAGGGATCATATAGTCAATATGTCATTCTAATAGTGTCAAATAGATTTTTTTTATTCTTTGTATCTTACTGCTTATAGTTCTAAAATAAATGCATATTATATACATCAATATGAAAATGAATAAATAGAATATGGTCTACTCATACAGTGTAATACTAAATAGCAGGTAAAAAGAATAAAGTAGATATACACTTTTTAAACACAGATTTCAAAAACATAATCAGATTAAAGAAAAACAGAAGACATACAGGGTGGGGCAAAAGTAAGTTTACAGTTGTGAGGGTGCGAAACACAGAGCTTACTCTTGTATTATTATTTATGAATTATTGCATTATTTTCCATATGAACAATTGTAAATCTACTTTATTTATTTATTTTTATTCCTTACCCGAGGATACTTTTCTATTTATCATCAGATAGAGTGGGAGGGAGGGGGAGACAGAGAAAGATAGAGAGAAACATCGATGTGATAGAGCCACATCGACTGATTGCCTCCTGCATGGCCCCGATCAGGGCTGGGGACGAACCTCAACCGAGGTACATGCCCTTGGCTGGAATCGAACCCGCGACTTATTGGTCTGCGGGCCGATGCTCTAACCACTGAGCAAAACCGGCCAAGGCTGTAAACCTACTTTAGAGATATAAGCATATACTTTAAAGAGGATTGGAATGATATCGTGATGGCCTGTGTTGGAGGTAAAGAAAGAAAAACACCTTGGGATAGAGGACTTGGTGTAAAGTTAAAAGTATATTTCAAGCTAATCTGCAATGTTTTACTTCTTTAAAAAGAAAAAAAAAATCCTGACTTGAAATAAGCATGACAAAATGTTAAAACATCATTTCTTAGGGCTTGATATTCTATTTTTTATGTTTTCCTATACTTTAAAAATTATCTAAAAATTTAAGCTTAATGAAAATAAGTACATACTTAGAAATTAAGAATAAACCACATTAGTTTTAAAAGTCTCATTATTATAACTCATCCTTTTTTATTGTTAAAATAAAACAACTTTGTAACAAAAAAGTTAGGTGTTGTGAATTCTGTTCTATCAGTTAGCAAAATATAACATTCTTTTATTGTTTTTCAGAGAACTAGAGGCTCTGGGCAAAGAATTAGAGCATCTCTCACATATTAAGGAAAGTGTTGAAGACAAGGTATTTGCATGTATATATTAGACTTCATGATATGTATGTTTATAGATCAATGTGTATTAATTTTTTTCTTGTTAACACAGCTGGAATTGAGACGGAAACAGTTTCATGTTCTTCTTAGTACCATCCACGAACTTCAGCAAACACTGGAAAGTAAGTAGAAATAGTTTATAGTGAATGTTTATAAAGATTTTTAATGGTCCAGGGGTATACCTTCAAAAATATACATTAAAAGAGAGAAGAGTACACCATCAGTTTTAGAACAGCAGTATGTATAGCTGGATGACATTAGAAGGTACTCATGTTGTTCAGCTTTGTGAATATGTGCAGAAAAGTCTGAATTTGTAGTAATACATGATTTAAAAACATATTAGGTAGTTTATATTAAGAGAAATTCAAGGATGATAGATATGAAATTATTCTTCGTTTATTGTAGTTTATTGCTAGAAAGTAACAATTCAGGACACAGGCAGGCCATGATAAGTGAGTGAAGTAATTAGTGATAAGCATATTTGCATACTCAGTGAACAGTGGGTGCTTTGTGGGAACTGGAGACTTGCTCAGGGTATTAATTATAGCCAATTGGAAATTTCTGTGTTATCTGATATGATTGTTTTCATGAAAAGCCTAAGACCTAGATTTTTGTTTAAAGTGAAATCTATCACATAAATTTTACATTTTGAGTCAATAAATACACAAGAACAACCCAAACAGAACTTTTAAAACCAAACACTTGTGTGTGCAATTACAGTCATAGGCTGTCATTTTGCCATCATTACTTTAAATATATTGTCTAACAAAGGATAAACATGTTTTCATGTATTTATTAAACATATAATTTAAGTGATCTGACTAGGGTTTTATGTTTCTTTCCCACTCGCAGACGACGAAAAGCTCTCAGAGGTGGAGGAAGCCCAGGGAACGAGCATGGACGCAGACCCTAAGCCGTAGGCAGGCCAGCACCCTCCCCTCGCGGGAGAGGTCGCAGCGTGATCTCGGCGTGTTTAGAATTTGCTGTGCTCTTGAGATATTTAAAGTTTTGACAGTGAACTACTTTGCTTTTAAATGTTCAAGTACAGTTCATTCGTATTTCTTCAGACAAAGGAAAATGACTTTAGTATAGATTTGTTTTTTATTGAAATACCTTTTTTATTTTTAAAAAGTAAGAAGCAACATCCAAAAATGTTTAATAAAACTTTTTCAAGCCAGACAATGTTTGTGCTCATTAGTATTCTAGGTAGTTTTTAACTGTTAACATTGATTTGCTTACAAAATAAGTTGAAGATTGTGAGAAGGTGGTGTTTCTAGGAGGTACATGAGAAAATGAGTCAACTTCTGGAAACTGTTACCATTTTTGAAAGTGGAATACTTGAATAGGCTTCAGGGGGCTGTGAACTTGTGAAATATGTGCAAAATGTTTGTGGTGGGTGCTCATTGTGGGCCAGGTTCCATGGTACCAAGACTCACTGGTGTAAGAGGTAATGAGATGCAGAGCAAATCCATATGCCTTCGTTTCTAGATCTCTCTTCTCAGTACTCGAGCAGTGTGGTTCTTAAATGTTTTGTCCATATTTTCTGTCTGCTGTTTTGTTCCTTAGGAATCATTTTCAGTGGAAAAAAGTTGATAAAGTGAAGAGTAGTTTGAGATAAATAGTCTATGAACATAGTCTTGCATGAAGCATTTCATGACCTTTTAAAAAATTAAGCTAAGGCTGAATCATCTGTAATTTTCTTAAGTATTGAATTATATTTTCAATAATTGTTAGGTTCCATTCTTACTCATTTTAGTGGAGAAACACGACACTTTGCATGAATCATACCTTAATGTTATATTTTTGTAATATTAATAGGAATTCTTTAAAAAAATGAAAATTTGAAATTAGCTCAGTTGTAATCATATTAAAAGTGTCACAACACCTTTAAATGCTTCCTCTAAAGTCATCTGGCAAATCATGGGAGAAATATTTTTGTAGAATTGTTATGCCATAATAAATGTTTCTGTTTTCCATTATTAGTATGAATTGTAAAGCAAAAGTTTGCTTATATTGATTCAGAATTAAAAATCAATTTTTAAAAAAGTATTTTTTAAGGACTGTTGGGCAGAATATTCTAAAAAAAAATATGCCCCCTCCCCCATTGATTAATTCACTAGAGAGATTTATTCAGGATTATGTGCCAAAAAGTAAGAATCCCTATGAAGATAACTTTTATGCAATCAGGAACAAAATCAGAAGCAGCAGCAGGTACATGGGAAACACACATTTTTCAGTTTATACTTCCTCATGGTTCTCTTGGAAATCCTCTGAAACTGCTTAGAAGACTGAAGAATTTCATCCCCTAGAAACTCACACTGTTGAAGCTCAGCATGTCTTTGGGCTAGTAACTTCATGGACTTATCAGTCACTGTTTCTATGAGGTCATCCACCTATGACAGATAGATACAAAGAAATGAAGCCACGTGTTAGAAAACCTTGTCAAAACCTAAGGGATGTTTTTTATTTTTTTCCCTGAGAGATAAGTTCAGAAATTGGTGGATATTTTGCAAATCCCAAAGCATTATTCTAATTCAAGCCACAGCAAACAGCTTGAAAACATACATTTACCACCCAGTGGTTAAGATCATCTCATTCCTTCTCCAAAGAAGCTTATGTGCATGCCTGTATTTTAATTGAATTCATTTAGTATTTATTAGGCACACGACATCACCCAAGGGGCCCTTACCAATCCTTTAGCCACTTTCAAATGCCCCCCACTAACATTGTGTCTTAATGGCAGTCATTAATTTCGTCCCACATTCGTGCTGTCCAGCAGGGCTGTGCATTCAGTTAAACCTGGCCTTTTAAGGCTTCTGAAACACAAAAGTAAAAGCCTTTGTCCACTACCTGCATTTGAAGCTTTCCTACTGTCAAATCTGATTTTTGGAGGATGTTTTCAATGCCATGTTTCTTCTTTTTAAGTGCTGGAAAGTGTAGTCTCTTTTTTGAGGAATATGGAACCTATCATAAAAATGCAAAAACACATCAGATTAGGAAGTACCAGCATTATTTTTTGACAGTGTTTCAAAAGGAATTCTCACCCATGGTATTCATTTATAAACTGAACATTTGCTACATAGCAGTGTTGAGTTGGTTACCGTATTCATATTATTCTCCACGCCCCATGTATCTCCTTTGTGCCCAGAGCTCTCTTTGAAGAGATCTGTAGGGTGCAGAGAAATGAGATTGTCTGGTTTTGAAAGAATACACAGTGTCAGGGAAAAAGCAGGTCATTCGTAAGCGGAAGAAGAAATTGCCTGTGCAGCTGCCACGCACAGAGTGTGGAGCTGCTGGGACCAGTGCCCCAGAAAGCTCATTACCACTGGATCCAGTTGTTAATTTGGTCTTCTTTTCTGTAGGTTTCCTTATTTTTATGGCAGACATGTATCCAAACATAAAAAGAAAGCTCTGGGTTCTTTTCGCCACATGCCTGATACTTTCCTTCTCATCCCTGGTGTGCTGATTACAAGTACCTGTTCTAATAGTGTTGCTATTAGAAATCATTTCTAGGTCATGGCTCCTGGCTAATATGCCCTTTTCGGTCTTACTAGGTTTACTTTTCTTCCCCTTCTGCTTAATAAATAGCATTAGGGCTATTGTGAGACCTACATACAGTAGGTTGGGAGAGCACATCTGGATCCTACGCCTTTGCCTGATGAGGGAGTTTACAAGTGAGTGTGCTGAGCAACCACCCTGCCTGCCAGCTTGCCCAGGCTCAGATGTCAGTCACCTGCAGAACCTTACCCAACCCCTGTGTAGCTGCACTCCTTCTCTCTCACATAACATTCAGTCCTTTTTCCTACTGTTGAATACTACTAATATAAAGTCAGGTGCCTAGAAGAGCCAGGCAGTTTTTGTAAAACAGAGCCAGTTGGGGCTGGTGTGAACTGGAAAGAAGTGCATCAAGCCAAGGGGCAGCCTCTGCCTGGCTCCTGCTGTTGCCATGAGGAGTTGGCGGCCTACTACTTCCAAATCTTCCTGTGTTTCAAAACACAGCTGCAAGTCCAGAGTTTTATTTGAAATATTGTAATTTTTAAATGTGGGCAGTTAATTTAAATATATTTGTGAGAACATTCTTTTTTTTTTTTAACTAATTTATTTTTGTTACAGATATTTCTCCTTTTTCCCCCACTGATTCCCCCCTCCCCGCCCTGTCCCCAGCTTTGTTGTCCATGTCCATTCTGAGAGCTAAACAAAACCCTTTTATAACCAGTAGAGAACACTGGATTTAATGTTTTTGATGGCCAAGTAGTTCTTCGTTTTCATATAGCCAAATTATCCATCTTTTCTTTCTTTCTTTCTTTTTCTAATCTATTGGCTGTCCCTTGCACGCCCCCGACTGGGGGTTGAGCCTGCAACTCGGGCATGTGCCCTGACAGGAATCACACTGGTGACCTCTCGTGCCAGGGGGCTCCATCTTTTCTTTTATGGTCAATGATGTGTTCTAATGAGTCTTTCTCTATACTGAAATCATGAAGATATTCTTAGTGTCCTTAAAAAGTTTTAAGGATTTACCTTTTCCTTATTTGCCTGTAACCCAGCAGGAACTAAGCTGTGTATATGGTGTGAGACAGGGATCAAATTTCATCTTTTTCTCCATATCCACTTGTCCCAGCACAATTTATTCAAATGATTATCCTTACCCCACTACGCTGCAGTGCCACGGTTTAATGTCTATCTCTTCCATTAAACTATAAACCCCACAAAACAGGACCCTGTCCTTGGGATCACCTTTGTAGCCCTAGAACGAGGAATTGGTCATCACATAATAGGAATAAAAATAAATGTGAACCTCACACAAAAGAGGCAAGATTCAAAGCTAACATTGGTGCACTCTGACTGATGCCTTAGAGCAGTGCTTTTAATAGAACTTTCTGTGAAAATGAAGATGTTCTTCATCTGTGCTGGTCTATACAATAGCCACCAACCACATGTGGTTATTGAGTACTTGAAATGTAGCTAAGCAATGAAAGAACTGAACTTTTAATTTAATTTTAATTAACTTAAAATAGTCACATGTAGCTATTGGCTGCCATATTAGATGGTACAGTTAGTACTTAGCATAGTAATTAAGACTAAGGACTCTAGAGCCAGGTCTCCCTGGGTTTAAAGCTTGACTCTGCCACTTCTCTGGGCAAATTAGAGAACCCATCTAACCTTTGTGCCATCTCTAAAATAAGGATAACAGGGCCATATCTTATCAGGCTGTTGGAAGAATTATCTGATATGTTGATATTTTTAAAGCACTAGGAACAGGGCCTGGAACATTACCTGGCGTAAATGTTTGTTATATTTAAAACAATAATAGTTCAGGCTATTTAAAAAAATAATCTGAGCAATTTAGGCTCAAATTTACATACCTATAGATAAATACAAGCTTTGAATTGAGAGTCCTGGATGGTCCAGGGCTGTACTGTCTATGCTTCCTATACACGTGGCTCTTTTTTTAATTGCAAGTAAAATGAAATAAAATCAAAAATTCCATTCCTCAGTCACACTGGCCACATTTTCAAAGTCTCGAAAGCCACACATGGCTAAGAGGACCGATATACACTGGCATCCTCGAAAAACGGTCCGCTGGGCAGTGTTGGTCTCGTGAATTGCTCACCACACAGCACGCACGGTAGGCCAGATGCTAGCATACTAACAGGTGAAAAGCCAACAGAAAGCTCTAAACTCCAGATTGTAGTAGAAGCTGAACACTTTGAGCTCAGAGATGGAGGCATCAGACCTGATTAGTCTGTTTTCTGGGCCCTAAATTCCTGGAGTGGAGACACAAGCAGGAGATGGAATGGCTGTCTTGTGAGGGACTTGTGGCAGGAGAGAACCTGGCGTTTACAACATCCTAAACGTGAACTATACGTCAGTCCGCAGGGGCAGTTTGTTTCAGCCTTTTACCTTCTGCAGGGCTGGAGGGAGGGACGTCACAGATAACCGCTGGGTGGTCCTCCTCGCCTGCAGGAGCGTGTTTCCTCGGGTTATCTCCTCTGTCTCTGCTTCTACAACATCAAGTTGTATCGTCGCTTAGAATGAAGGGGGAAAAAAGAATCTGTAATGATCACAGTCAGAATCACATTCTTCCTAATAGAAAGTATTCTGAAAAGATGGCACCCCATGCTGCCTCAGTAGCTTTTTTCCTTGGGGTTAAAAAGTCAACCTGCATTTGCTTTTCCGTGTCTCACACCTTCTCTTGCATACGGGCCTTTGCTTGGGCTGGTGATCTCCATGGTCACCGACCAGTCTTGACAAGGTGGTTGGTCCCCTCTCTGTCTTCAAGACCAGTTTGCCCTCTGTTGCTTTTCCCTTTAACTATTGTGAAATTAGAAAAGTAACTTCTAATGTGTAAGACGATCCCTTGAATATTTGTTGTTGATTAAAGCAAGTTTGAATTTATTCTTCAGCGATGTGGCTCAAGGCTCAGGCATGCACCTGCCATCCTGACAGTTTCCCCATAATCCAGGAACCACGTGAATTCGTTAATATTTTCCTTTATATCATTTCAATTCTTAACACAATAAATGTATCTGTAAAGAAAAATTTAAGACACTACCATAAATTGAAAACCACTATCATAAATAGGCATTAAAATCAATATGGTAAAAACAAAACCGTATTATTGGCTACAGAAAGCACTAAACTTGAGGTTACTCTACTTTCTGTTTAAAAAAGGAAAAGGCAGGAAATGAGAATTTTGCTTGATGCAGTTAAAGCGTTTGCAGTTTGCTCTGTCTCGGTGTTGTTACTGTGCACCGCACCTAACGTCGTCTTGTTCTGCAGGGCTGCGAATAAGGAAGGTCCTCTCTGGGAGCCATGCTCCTAATCTCCGCCCCTGGGGGCTCTTCCCTCTCCCCCAAGCTCCGCTGTCCAGCTGTCTCAACCCCACTGCTGTGACCAGCCCACACTTGTGCATCCCTTGCCTGAAGGAATGTAAGTCTGTTCACTGTTCCTCCTGCATTTGCTCTTGCCCTTCTCCAACCAGTCTCCACTCTGCAGCCCGAGCTCTCTTTTCAAAATGCAAATCAGATTACATAAATCCCCAGTTTGCAAGTATTTGATGGTTCTTATCATCCTTAGATATAGACAATTCTTAACAGGGCTGTAACACACTTGCTACCTCAATCCTGGCTGGACTCCTTTCATTTCTTAATTATGCCTGGTGCTCTCTTGATATTGGGACTGAACGTGCTCTTCCTCCCCCTAGGACACCGTTCTCCTCTTCTTTCCTCATTTTACTCCAGGTGGCCTTCAGATCATTGAGCTGCCCCTTCCTCAGGGAGGCCTTTCTGGAGGGCCCTTCCCTAAAGTAGCATGCACGATGGGTTTTCATAGTGCCCTGTGCCCAGAGAACTGGTCAGGGCATAGAGTGAACCCTAATGCAAACTATGGACTTTAGTTAACAATAAGTCAATATTGGCTCATTAATTGGGAGGGTGGGATGAGGAGAGGGGGTGTATGGGAACTAACTCTGTATTTTCTGCTCAATTTTTCCAGTAAACCTAAAATTGCTCTAAAAAATAGTCTATTAATTTTTAAAATCTACAAAGGTGAATGCTAATATTAGTGGTATTGTTAAGTATCACTCATAGGACCCCCTAAAACAGCATTACTACCTTGCGAAAAAGACAGTGTTGCCCTGGCCAGTTTGGCTTAGCGGTTAGAGCACTGGCCTGTGGACCAAAGGACCGTGGGTTTGATTCCCAGTCAAGGGCACAAACCTGGGTAGCATGTTTGATATGTCTTTCTCCTACATTGATGTTTCTCTCTCTCTCCCCCTCCCTCCCTTGTACTCTAGCTAAAAAAAAGTATCAGTGGAAGAATATACTCAGGTTTGGATTAACGGGCGGGGTGAGGAGGACAATGTTTTTTTTTTCAAATGTCTATTCTTCCACAAAGTACACGGGAAGTGGATACAATAAAATAAGATGTTCTTTATGAGTTACCAATCATAAATTTTATTCACAGAATTTTCCCCACACCCTCCACTGTTGGAATTAGCCATTTGAAAGACTGCATCGCTACTTTCTCTAGAAACAAAACCAAAACCCCCATTTGACTTTGATTTCCTAATATAATGCCTGCAAGTGCATGCATGTTTAAATACAAAGGGGCTGTGAGCGGATGAAACTACTGATCAGTTGGACTAGGAGTGTCTTGAAGGCAATCTAAATCAGAGCTTTTCAAATTGTATGTACATGTGAATTACCCGGCGATCTTTCTAAAATGCAGATACTGACTCAGGAGACCTGGGTGGGGCCTGGGATTCTGCATTTCAGACAAGCCCTCAGGAGATGTCATACTTCAGGTAGCAAGACAATCCATCCTTGCCCTGGCCGGTATGGCTCAGCGGTTAGAGCGTTGGCCCATGGACTAAAGAGTCACGGGTTCCATTCCTGATCAAGGGCACATACCTTGGTTGCAGGTTCAATTCCAGCCCTGGTTGGGGTCCTGCAGGAGGCAGCCGATCTGTGTGACTCTCACATCGATGTTTCTCTCTCTCTCTCTCTCTTTCTATCTGAAAAATATCCCCAGGTGAGGATTGAAAAAAAAAAAAAAGGAAAATCCACCCTAATTTCATGACTCCTCCTGGCCTGGACAGGTGACCATGTACTGCCCGCGATTACCGTTCCGAGCGTGCTTTCTGGTTCTCGGCGTGGTGGACGGCCCGGGTGACGGGGGCCCCTCGACTCTTCCAGCAGGAGGGCTCCGCGGCTCCGAACGCAGGGCTCGCCGATGGCTGCTGGTGCCCTCTCCACTGACACTTGCTGGCTTGCGTCTGGACTTGTATGACAACATCCTCCCGACAAAAGTCTTCATTTTATGCGTCACTTTTTTTTTCCGACTTTGCTGGCTTTCATGGAATTCCATGTCGCTCCCACTCAAAGGCTCCTCTTTGGGGACCAATACATTTTGTTTCACCAAGTTGGGGGACACAGCTCTGTGCCATCTAATCAAAGTAAGAACTATTTGAATTAAGGGAATTGAAAAGTTAAAAACATCATTGAAATCATTACAATCTAAGTGGCAAATATGAACAACTTATACAACTCCAAGAATCAAATCACAGAAAAATAAAGCCAAAGCAACCACTTGATGTCTTCTCGTTCTGGTCACCATCTCGCCGAACCTCAGAGCAGGCAGGTGACAGTAGACTGAGACAGAGAGAGGTTAACTTAGTTAACCTGAGCACATATAACTAAGCACATGTGCAGATTTTAGTTCTGGGCTGTGACTGTTAGAATATATTACCTCATATTGACAAATTGGCAATCATTTCAGTGATGGTTTGAGACAGTTTTTGCTGGAGTTGGTGCTTCTAAGGTTATGGTGGTGAGAGAGGAGAGTCTGTTAGGGGAGTCAATAAAGAATATAGTCCCCAAGGTCCCATAAATGCTGCATTTACATAGAACATTCATTTAGAGAGAATAATTCTAAACACATAGTTCCAAAATTCCAAATAACCGTATACCATCTTAATCATTTTGGCATCTATAAAGATAGATAACATTTCTTAATAGCTTTCTATGTGTTAATACTCTGCTTTTTTTCATGTGTATTACATAATTTAACCCTCATATGGCCATCTACCCTTTACAAAAGGCATATGAAAGCTTGGGAAGATTAAATAACTTATGCCCAGACATTCTGATCCAAGGTCTGTGTGGTTATCCTCTATGCGAGAGTAAACATCACCCACTCTGTGACACCAGTTTTTACTGAATATTCTTCCTCAATTCACAGTTTTTTGTTAGTCTCATGTAAAGCAATAATGTCCATAAAATCCTAGGGTTTAAAAAAACTAACATTTTATTTTGAGATAACTACAGTGTCACATGCAGTTATAAGAAATAATATTTAAGCCCATTAAAAAATTCTCTGTTTGCTCTTCACCCAGTTTCCCCCAATGGTAACCTCTTGCAAAACTGTAACACATTAGCCCTGGCCGGTTTGGCTCAGCGATTAGAGCATCGGCCTGCGGTCCTGAGAGACCCAGGTTCGGTTCCCGGGGCGGGGGGGTGCGTACCTTGGTTGCAGTTTGTCCCTGGCCCTGGTCGGTTGTGTGGGTGGCAGCCACTCGATGTGTTCCTTTCATATCGATGTTTCTCTCTCTATATCTGTTCCCCTCTCTCCCTCCCACTCTACCTGAACAAAAAAATGGAAAAATGTCCTCGGGTGAGGATAAAAAACAAAACAAAACAAAAAAACTGTAACACATTATCACAGCCAGGATATTGACATTGATTCTGTCAAGAATGTGTTTATCACAACCAGGATCCTTGTTGTTTTATAGCCACACCCACTTGTCACCTCACCTCACATTTTCCTGAACCCCGGGCACCACTAAGTTGTCCTTCATGTGTATAATGTATGTCTTTGAGAATGTTACGTAAAGGGAATCGTACAGTATATAACCCTTTGGGGTTTACTTTTTTGCTCAGCACATTTTCTTGGAGATTCATTCACATTGTTGTGTATGTCGATAATTTGCTCCTTTTTATTGCGGAGTAACATTCCACGATGCAACCACGCTTCGTTTAATTGTTCAATCACTGGAAGACATCTGGGTTGTTTCCAGTTGGGGCTATTATCGATCAGGCTGCTGTAAACATTTGTGTATAGGTTTTTGTGTGAATATAAAACTTCATTTCTTTGGGTGAAATCCCAGGTTTTATATTATGTTATATTATATCATGTTATACCTATAATACTTGTAATACATATTTCTAACATAGATGTAAATAAATTTATAACCATTAAAAAGTGTTCTTCATATACTACCTAAAATATCTTATGTACCACCAGTAACACATATACCATACTCCAGGGAAACACTTCAAAACTGGACCTAAATGTTCAGCTTCTCTGTCCTTCTAGCTGGAAGCATGTCTGTAAGAGCCCAGGTGCGGGAGCTGGATGGTCTTCCCAGCTGTGTGATCTTGGGCATGTGATTTAACTCTGTAAGCTTCGGTTTTCTCATTTGAAAATTGGGGTACTGTTCTCAGAAATGTGCAAATAAATGGAAATAACATATGTGCTTGGAACCTAATAAAACATTCAGGAAATGATAGTACCATGTGGATCAGATCTGTGTGGGAAAATGTAAAAGGCAAGGAGGGACGCCTCCGGGGTTAGTGGGGTTCTGCCAGTTAGCACACAGCTTCTAGGGGGTGCTGTATGTTCTAATTCGCCCAAAGGTCATTCATGGGCTGGGATTAATCTCCCATAGACACCTCTGAGAAATCTTTTAATAAAGCCTTCTTTTTCTACTACCATAAACACACACACACACACACACACCCCAAAGAAAATACATTTTAGGAGGTCCAGGAACCCTGAAGGCCACATGTGAACCCCTCAGGTGAAAAGCCCAGCTCTGAGCAGTCTCTGCATCTCTAAATGTGTCTCCCACTCCTATCCCGCTCACCCCCACTCCAGCCGATGCACAACAATTAACAAAGGCGATTTGCTTCCGAGCTTACGAATAGGATTGCTATAATTTCTGTTAGGAGAAGAATACTACCCTTCTTAAGTTTTTACTTTTTTGGTTCGTAGTAAATTTATTCAGTTGTATTGCTTCAACCCCTATTTCTTCTTAAAAGTGGAAATCTCTGCAAAACTTTATTTTGTCCGTGAAAGTTCAAAAGTTCACTCTTCGATGCTTCCGGCCTCAGGAAAACACCTCCTTTCTACATGTCAGAGTTATTGCTAACGACCCTGGTAAGAAAGAAGCCAAAAGGAAATGGGGGAAAAAATCATCTAACTGACTGTCCAAATTAAACTGCATGATGTTTGGAATATTTTATGCCTATGTTTATGGCTTTGCCATTGGCAAAAAATATCAGGTGTGAGACCGTTTTCGGGTTACGCTAAAGAGTATAGGGGAGATGCAGTCGGTACCTATTCCAGCACCAGAATGGGCGGCAAAGGGGCAGAAGCACCGGCCATGGACTCGTCTTGAGTGCACTACTGACATGTCAAAATAATAGTACCTGCATGGGATTGTGATATTTAAAATGCCGAGGCTGAAATTACTATCAGTGCTTGCTTTGGTGTCAGATGCCACATTAAAACTCAAATTCGGGCCAAAAGAAAGCTTTTCTCCACAACAATGAAGACTCTTCCGATCACAAAATGAGGCTTCCCCTTCCAAGCCACACAGAGCCTTCATTTCCAAATGCAAGGCTTAAAAAGAGATGCTACCTTTTTCTAATGCCACAGTGGATATCGTTTCATGCAAAATCCAAAGACTCTCACTTCATGAAAAAGAAAGTGAGTCCTAGTTTCCTACCTTTCAATCCCCTTCCTTTTGAATGAGCCGGTCTTCCTCCCAGCTTGCTGAAACCTTCCGTACTGGCCAACTCTTCCATCACCAAACTTAAAGGGCTCAGCGGGACGGAGCTGAGCGCCGTCCATCGCTGTCAACACCAGCTGCAGTCGCTGTTTGGAGTTTCTTGAGCTCACAAACTTCAAAACGAAAGTAGCCAGTGACTGAGGCACTTTTAACTTCAGGGCGGTTTGGGATAAAGTATGTAGGAGATTTTTGAAATCTCTTTTTTATTCCCTTCCAGGTGTTAAGAGACATCATTTGTGGGACTGGCCTTGTCTACCACCTCACAGAGGCCCCAATGATGCATTTGGCGAAGCAGTGGGAAATTCCTTTTCACTTTGTGGAATATGCCTTGGAGCTTCCAGGGCAAGGCAAATGCAGAAAAGCTGACCTGATTACCTAAGCGCCACTGCTTGTATTGGTAATAAAATAATCACACACCAGTTGATTATCACACTGAGCTGTGCATGCTGAATTCCAAAGAGGAAAGAACCAAAGCAGCAACACCAATGATCCATTAAATCCAACTAGAGCTGATGATACTCTGTCCCAGGGACACATGGAAACGGCCAGTTGTTATCTAGCCTTCTCACAGTACACCCCAAGGATTATTTTATTGTATCTTGGAGTTTTGTAGCGTTCTCTCAAAGTACATGGCTAAAATGTTGAGTACCTGGTCCATCCCTCCCTTCTAACATTTGCCCATTTATTTCTTGGAAAAGAGCAAATTCTGGCTGGGTTGAAACTTCTCACCACAAGATGGCAGCAGACACAAGGATTTATTTTCATCACGCTGGGTTCTTGAGTTTTTCAGTCCAAGATAATTGGATGCTAAGAAGGAAAACTGTAGACAATTCTTGAGAGAGACAAAAATTGCTCTGCTTTCTGTGTTTCTACTCATCAGTAATCTGGACTGTGCTTCTTAAACTTTCATGTGCGCATGAGTTACTTGGGGTCTTATTAAAATACAGATTTAAATACAGTAGGTCTGGGGTGAAATTCAAGAATTTGCATTTCTAACAAGCTCCCAAGTGATGCTGATGATGCTGATCCACATGCCACACTTTGAGTACCAAGCAAGTCTCTTGTATGTTCCAGTACTGGGGGAAGGAACGTAAAAACGATCTAGAATGAAATATGTAACACTGAGGAGTTAAGAGAGTGGGTTTGGGTGTTACGCCTGGGTTCTTGTTCCAGCTCAGCTGTGTGGCCTTCATCAGCTCACTGAACCTCTCTGTGCTTTTCTTCTCATCATAAAGTAGGGGTACTAATAGTGCTCCCAGGAGAGCGGGTGCAGGCGGTCCTTCCAGAAGCACTGATATACAGCATGCTGGTGTGCCCTAGCCAGAGGGTGTGTGGTGCTGCTTGGTCTGTCTTCCCTCGTCCATCGGAATCCCCAGAGTGCAATAAAGGAACAAGCATTTTCCTTAACCATGGCTCACTTGATTATTGGAATAGCTGTATTGATTCTGCTGTATTTTGTCAACCATCTGGATGAATGCGGTTAATTCTCTGTTAGGAAAAAAGGGCTTTTATTTGTGTATGTGTGTGTCTGTTTGCACATGTCTATGAGTGTGCAAGTCTGTGTGTGTGTGTGTGTGTGTGTGTGTGTGCGCAACAGGCTGGAACATCTGCTGTTTTGGCTGTGACAAGATAACTGGGTTCTTCAGGAGTCCCAAAGGTGATGGAGCTCGCAAGGGTGGAACGTGGGAGAAGAGCAGAGAGAAGAGCTACCGCACCGACGGACACTGGTTTGAGCCCAATCTGTTTTTAAATCCTAGCTCTGCTCCTCACAGCTATGGGACCTTGGGCAAGTGACAAACATCTCTGGACCTCCATTTCCCTCTCTGTGAAATAGGAGTAGTAACTGCTACCTTCCAGGGATGTTTTATTCATTGTTACCTGGCAACTAGTCAGATGCTTAGTGGATGCTGGTGCTACTCTGGGCACCTGGGAAAGAGCAGCAAGCAACACAGGATCACTGAACCACATAACTTAAAATGCTGGGGGAGAGGCTGTCACATAAGAAAACAAATAAATTCACCTTGGCAGTCGTAAGTGCCAGGAAGAAGCTAGAAAAGGATGAGAGGAGAGTGAAGGTCAGCTTCAGGGGAGGAGCCGGGCAAGCAGTCGGCCTGATGAGTCATTGGGCTGAGAGCTGAACCAGGGCAGTTAGTCATGTGAAGCTCTGACTGTCCCAGGAAGATGAATCAGCTCCCAGAGCCCCGAGGTGGAGGAGTCTGGTGCTGCAGAGAAACTACAAGGTAGTCAGGCCGGTGGATGAGATGAGCTGGAGGGACGGACAGGGCAGAGCTGCCAGACTCTACGGAACACAGGAAAGATCTCCATCTCGTCTCGAGCAGTGCAGATTTTAATTGAAGTAAAATATGTATAATTTAAATTTACCATCTTAACCATTTTAAGATGTATAGCTCAGTGTCATTAATATATTCACATCATTGTGCTACCGTCATCACCATTCATTCCTGAACTTCTCTCCTGTTTAAGAAGTGCTGAAAGTCTGTACTTCGTAGACGAACTCCCCATTCCTCGCCACCAGCCCCACCCCGCCTGGAAACCACCACTGTGCCTTTCTGTCTCAATGAATCTGAGAAGGGTTTCTACGGAGCCAGTCAATGTATTTATTCTGTGCAATGAGGATTCAGCCTTGGACAAAACAACTAGAATGCCTGCCCAGGAATTACATTCTAATGGAGGAAACAGACACCACACACGTTAACAAACAGATAAAACATTTCAGGCACTGATTTAAAACGAATGCTATGAGAAAACTAGGAAAACATGGTACAAAGCAAGTGGCAGTGGGTGCCTCTGCGACAGCGATCGAGAAAGACACCGTAGCCCTGGCCGTTGGCTCAGGGTCAGGGCGTCAGCCCAGACGGAAGGGTCCAGGTTTGATTCCCAGTGAGGGCCTGGGTTGTAGGTTCAATCCCCAGCCCCGGTAGGGGTTGTGGGAGGCAACCAATCGATGTGTCTCTCTCACATTGATGTTTCTCTCTCTCTCCTTTCCTCCTTTCCACTCTCTAAAAAAAAATCAATGGAAAAATATCCTCAGATGAGGATTAACACAAAAGAAAAAGAAAGACCTCTTAAAGAGCTGACATTTGAGGTGAGATGTTTCAGGTTGAAAGGAGACACACTCTGGTAAGATCTGGAAGAAGTATTCCAAAGATGGAAAATGACCAGAGCAAAGGGTCTGGGGTCTGAGTTCTGAGGTGGGTGAGAACTAGGACATATGGAAACCAATGTGGTGGGGACAGAGGTGACAGGGGAACAGAGGTGACAAGAAAACACAGGTGACAAGGAAACACAAGTGACAATGAAACAAAGGTGGCAGGGGAACACAGGTGACCATGGAACACAGGTGACAGAGAAACACAGGTGATGGGAGAACACAGGTGATGGGAACAGAGGTGACAATGGAACACGGGTGACAGGTGACAGGGGAAGGCAATGTTATGCTTGTGGTTTAAAAAGATTGTTGTGTGCAGCATGGGAGAGACATTGGAGAGGGAATGGTCATTAGGGAATGTTGCTGAGATGTCATTAGGTGGGTAAATGGCCCAGGCTAGACACGGTGGTGGGTAGGAGTAGAGCGAAGTAGAAGCGTCCAGACTCAGGAAATACTTAGGAGGTATAATACTGAAATGAACTGGGGAGGGGAGAGAGGAAGATCCTGGACTGGAAGGGAGGTTGTGGCAGTCTTTCAAGGGTGAGATTGTAGTGGTTTAGCTACGTAGTGGGTAACGGAGCTAGAGAGAAGGCCATCAATTCGAGTCCCCATCAGTATCCTTTTCTTTTCAACCATCCTTCATGGGATGTGTCTTGGAGTCATACCCATACCATCATTCCCTGGCCCTTTGTAAATGTCCCTCTGAAAAGCCATAAAGCCAGAGCAGGGTGAAGTCTGGTAAAACACAATCTTCCTTTGTTCTCAACATTATCCTTCTATTGAATGTATCTGAGATTGCATAATTCTATTTAGGTAACCATAACAACAGTTGACTCCTATTGAGATAGCAATTGATTGAAACCTCTCAGCAAGAGACTGCAAACAAGAATGCCTGCAGGAGCCAGGCAGGTACTTGTGAGAAGCTGTGGGGTGCAGCAGGAAGATGTGGGAATGGTGGTGAAGTGCAGAAGGATGGGCCAATCAAATCTTACTGAACTTCAAATTTTTAAGAAGCCTTGTGCATTTAAAAGTGTGGTCTGCAAGTCACAGTTAGCCTGTGAAACACCAATTTGCTGCCTCCAGAAATCTTTACATATATTCTCTGCATTCTGCCAGCCAGGTCTTTCCCAACATTGGTCCCAAAACTGATTTCCCCCCAAGTTTTAACTTAAATGTGTTGACTTTTGACCAGTTGTTAAATAGTTTTTGCATCTTTTCTTTATCTGGTTGCACCTAGCAACTTGTAAGCCTTCTGCAAACTTGGTAAGCAGAGATTCTGGGTCATGTTCCAAGTCTGGGAGAGAGAAACACATAGAACAGGGCAGTACAGTGTACCTTAGCCACCTGGAATCATTTAAAAACAAAAGCCTTTTGAAAATGAATGAGTTTAGTGAGCTGACCATTTCCTGAAGAGTCACCACAGATTCTGGCCATCCCAGATTTACCAGGATTTGGGAGGCCTTTGCATGTAGAGGAATATGGATTGGGGACTTTCCCCCCTTGTTCGGACAAATCTCCTTGCTGGAGCTTTTGTCCTTTTGAGAGAAAAAGGTGTCACTTTACAGATCACTTAGCAAGAATTGTGTCATGAGGAAGTGTATACAGGGCACCTAGAGACAGAATGTTTCTCTGGAGAAGAGGGTGCCACTCTCTAGGAGTCAGCGGAGGCAAGGTCTGGAGCGAAGTGTTTCTGAAGAGGCACGAGGCTTTCCAGTACATGATGCCCTTTTCTCACTTGCTTTTGGTGTTAGTTGCTGCCCCAGGTTGGTATCTTTAACTCTGGACTCCTATCATGTAGCTTTGAAAGAGTCGTTTGGTTTGCTTTTACTTTCTTTAGTAACTTCTCAGTGTTGGTCCTGGAAGTTGTCAAGGGCACTGGGCTGTGCCACATTG